ACATAAGAAAACAAGGTGACTGGAATACCAGGCAAAGGGAAGAGGCTGTCACAGGACACACGTGACACATGTATCAAAAACAACAAAGTTACATTATGGAAATACAACACATCTTTCTAAATGTCACATATTGAATGAAAATAGTATAAAAAAAAAAAAAAAAAAAAAAAAACACACACAAAATATATAAATATCCTTCTTCACCATTAAAAAAAATACAACTTTGTCATTGGGGGAGATTTCCCTTCAATTCCTGTTCCATAGTCAAAAAGGAAAGGAAATCCCTGCAAATTGAAAGAATCTTGTTGCCCCCCCCCCCCCAGGTCACCAAAACTAGTGTCCCCCCATTGGAAGATTTCTCCTCTATTAGAACAACCCAAAATATGGAATTTTCTTTTACTTTTAATGATAATGGTAAACAGGACAAATAGAGGAGAATGAATCTCCTTAACGGGGGCCACAGGCAGCGATAAAAACCTGGCGGGGGTTCTAATTCCTCTCCACTCCACCCAAAACTAAAGCAAAAAAACTAAAAAACAATTAAATAAGAAAAAAAAAAAAAGCTTTGCCTTTAGGCCTGATTCACACCAATGCGTTTTTTAGTGCTTTTTGCAAAAACGCACTGCTTTCCTATGGGACACGTTCACATATTATGCTTTTTTTTGAACTGCTGCAGTTTTTTTTTACCTTTTTAACCACTTGCTTACCAGGCACTTCTACCCCCTTCCAGTCCAGGCCAATTTTCAGCACTATCACACTTTGAATGACAATTGCGCGGTCATGCAACACTGTACTCCTATGAAATGTTTAGCATTTTTTTTTTGAGACAGATAGAGCTTTCCTTTGGTGGTATTTAATCACCACTTGGTTTATTTTTTGCTAAACAAACCAAAAACAACTGAAAATCTTGAAAAAAAAAAAAGTTTCTTCTTAGTTTTTGTTATAAAATTTGTGTGATTTTTCTTCTTCACTGATGTGCGCTAATGAGGCTACAGTGATGGACACCAATAGGCTGCACTGATGAGGAGGCACTGATGGGTATTGACAGGCATCACTGATGGGTACTGATAGGCAGCACTGACTGGCAATGATAGGCAGAACTGATGAGGTGGCAAGGATAGGCAGCACTGATAGGCAGCACTAATAGGTGGAACTGATAATGCTGCACTGATATGCGACAATGATGGGCACTGATGAGGAGGCACTGGTAGGTGGCACTGATGGGCATTGACAGGCATCACTGATGGGCACTGAAAGGCACCACTCGTATATGGCACTGATAGGTGGCACTGTTAGGCAGCACTGACTGACACAGATAGGTGGCACTGAAAGGCAGCTCAGATGGGCACTGATATGTGGGATTGATGTGGCACTGATGGGCACTGGCAGGTGGCATTGATGGGGTACCCTGATGATCAGTGTACATGTCCCCTCTGATGAATGCAGATTACCGGCTCTCCTCTCCTCTGTCAGCGTGACAGCTCATGAGGAGAGGACACTGATAACCAGCATTTCCCCATTTGCATGCGATCAGCTGTGATTGGACACAGCTGATCACATGACAGAGCCGACGTCATCGCTCTCTTTCCCCTGTCCCAGGGACACAGCGCACCTCCGATCGCCACACTGCCTGCCCCCGGGGGCGCACACGAGCGGTTAGAGTGGGAGGACGTCACATGACATCCTCCCAGGATGAAAGAACCGCCGCCTGTCCGTCATTTCCTTATACGGCGGGCGGGAGGCAGTCAAACGCAAAAAGTAGCATTTTTGCTACAATAGAGTTCAATGTAGAAGCTGCTGAAACTCACGTAGTGCTTTTTTGATGTGTTTTTATTCTGCCCAGCAACAAAAAAAAAATTCACCTTTAAAAAAAAAAAAAAAAAAAAAGATGAAAAAAAACGCAAAGCGTAGCAAAAACGCACTGCAAAACGGACAAAAAGCACAATGCATTGGTGTGTACCGGCCTTAGTTGTACTTTGTGTACATCAGCCGCAATGTTTCTGTGTTTACGTATAAGTATGCATCGCTGTTGAGAGAACGGATCCAAAAACGTGGAGATTCCTCCAAATTGGCGATTATATTTTTACATTCCATAAATACCGCATGCCTGGACCGCGACTTATTTATCTCATGCATTTATTTATTTATTTTTTTAGTGAACTGACTTCACGCTGTTTTATGATGTATCTACCAAAGATTTTTGCTTTTTGAAGTAGATAACTTATATGGTGAATGGACATTTTTCTGCAGCATTTTACAGAAACGCAGTACAGTCCATTGAACATGATTTCCTATGGGACACGTTCACATCTCTGCGTTTTTCACACGGTGCATTTTTTGGAAAGGGTCGGGGACTTTTTTGAGAGCAAAACTTTGCGTTTTTGGTTCTATAGACTTCAATGCGAATGCTGCAGAAAAGCATGTATTGCATTTTTGCTGTGTTTTGCATTTAAAATCTACCTAGCAACAACAAAAAAAAAAAACAAAACCCCGCAAAACACATAAAAAAAACGCAAGTGTAAAAAACGCAAAGCGTAATGCAGAAACGCATCAAACGCAACCTGCATAGGTGTGAACCTGGGGTAAACCAGACTCCGCCCCTGCGCATGCCGTCTTTGCAACGTTCCTTCTTCTGGGAAATGTGTTAGACCCGTCACAAGTGACTGGGACACGCTTAGCGGTGGAGAATCAATTCATGCTTGGTGTCACAGGAAGTAAATGGTGACAATACTTGGTTTTCGGTAACCTTTTTGCCCACAGCATTCAGGGCTGCTGTTAGAAATCATGCCCCCCCCCCCCCCCCCGGACAGTATCTGACAGCCCCCCTCAAAAAAAAAAAAAGTATTTTCATTAAAGTGTTACTAAACCCACAACAGTGCAATCAGTTTGTAGATGCAGTAAAGCATGCTTGTTATACTCAGTGGGGAACCTAAGAGGTTAATCCTCCACACTGTGTAAAAACAATGTTTGATCCTGTCTTCTCTGATCCTCCCCTTCTTCCAGTATCTCCTAAATATCCCCTGATAGAACAGAGGCTTAGGGGAAAGATGTACATGCTCAGTTTGGGGTGTATTACTAGATACTTTTTTTTTTCTTTGGAAGAGTGCATGTGATCAGCAAAGGGCCAATCAGTGCTGTCCAGACAGAGGGTTGGGGGTCATGCAGCCTCATAGGACAGTCAAAGGATAATGAAAACTCCTTATACAAGCTTTAACCAGTGCTCTGCTGGACACTGATAGAAGTCACAAGACTGCTCTATACTGCTGATGAGAAAAGGTATTTAGCAGTTTATATTTACTAAAATAATTGCATTTCCATGTTGTGTGTACTGTGGGAGAGCGGATATAGTGAATGCGGGGTCCGGGGAGAGCGGATATAGTGAATGCGGGGTCCGGGGAGAGCGGATATAGTGAATGCGGGGTCCGGGGACAGCGGATATAGTGAATGCGGGGTCCGGGGACAGCGGATATAGTGAATGCGGGGTCCGGGGAGAGCGGATATAGTGAATGCGGGGTCCGGGGAGAGCGGATATAGTGAATGCGGGGTCCGGGGAGAGCGGATATAGTGAATGCGGGGTCCGGGGAGAGCGGATATAGTGAATGCGGGTCCGGGGAGAGCGGATGTAGTGAATGCGGGGTCCGGGGAGAGCGGATGTAGTGAATGCGGGGTCCGGGGAGAGCGGATGTAGTGAATGCGGGGTCCGGGGAGAGCGGATATAGTGAATGCGGGGTCCGGGGAGAGCGGATATAGTGAATGCGGGGGTCCGGGGAGAGCGGATATAGTGAATGCGGGGTCCGGGGAGAGCGGATACAGTGAATGCGGGGTCCGGGGAGAGCGGATACAGTGAATGCGGGGTCCGGGGAGAGCGGATATAGTGAATGCGGGGTCCGGGGAGAGCGGATATAGTGAATGCGGGGTCGGGGAGAGCGGATACAGTGAATGCGGGGTCCGGGGGGAGAGCGGATATAGTGAATGCGGGTCGGGGAGAGCGGATATAGTGAATGCGGGGTCCGGGGAGAGCGGATATAGTGAATGCGGGGTCCGGGGAGAGCGGATATAGTGAATGCGGGTCCGGGGAGAGCGGATATAGTGAATGCGGGGTCCGGGGAGAGCGGATATAGTGAATGCGGGGTCCGGGGAGAGCGGATGTAGTGAATGCGGGGTCCGGGGAGAGCGGATGTAGTGAATGCGGGGTCCGGGGGAGAGCGGATATAGTGAATGCGGGGTCCGGGGAGAGCGGATATAGTGAATGCGGGGTCCGGGGAGAGCGGATATAGTGAATGCGGGGTCCGGGGAGAGCTGGATACAGTGAATGCGGGGTCCGGGGAGAGCGGATACAGTGAATGCGGGGTCCGGGGAGAGCGGATATAGTGAATGCGGGGTCCGGGGAGAGCGGATATAGTGAATGCGGGGTCCGGGGAGAGCGGATATAGTGAATGCGGGGTCCGGGGAGAGCGGATATAGTGAATGCGGGGTCTCGGGGAGAGCGGATATAGTGAATGCGGGGTCCGGGGAGAGCGGATACAGTGAATGCGGGGTCCGGGGAGAGCGGATACAGTGAATGCGGGGTCCGGGGGAGAGCGGATTAGTGAATGCGGGGTCCGGGGAGAGCGGATATAGTGAATGCGGGGTCCGGGGAGAGCGGATATAGTGAATGCGGGGTCCGGGGAGAGCGGATATAGTGAATGCGGGGTCCGGTGAGAGCGGATATAGTGAATGCGGGGTCCGGGGAGAGCGGATATAGTGAATGCGGGGTCCGGAGAGAGCGGATATAGTGAATGCGGGGTCCCGGGAGAGCGGATATAGTGAATGCGGGGTCCGGGGGGAGCGGATATAGTGAATGAGCTGTGGAGCCCATACAGCTGCATTTATTTTCTTAGTAGGAACTCTGACTGCGTTGTATTTGATGTGCAGAGTACAGGCCGCTAGTACTGTGTATATGGGGTGGGTGCACTGTGTGCATGTGGCGTATGTATAGAAGGTGTACGAGGACTCCATACCTGGCTCGTGAGATCGCTGATATCCACTCATCGCAGTCCTTGGAATCTTCTGTGCGTAGCTCCAAAGGCTTCTGATTTTCATGGTTAAAGTTGATAATAAAGCAAAACTACAAAAAAAAAACAAAAGACACAAACTCAGAAAATGAATATAAAGCGGTGTGCAGTGTGTGTGAGAGGTGCCCTCCCATATCTTTCCTGTTATAACTTCTTATATTATACCGAAACACTGCCAGTGACCGGACTACACAACCCACAGAACAACCCCCCTCCTGTTAGTGACCGGACTACACAACCCACAGAACAACCCCCCTCCTGTTAGTGACCGGACTACACAACCCACAGAACAACCCCCCTCCTGTTAGTTACTGGACTACTCAGCTTCTCCCATCTGCCAACATGGAATGACAAGACCTCTCATACCTGAGCACAACCAGTGAGTGTACTTTCATATCTATTTAACCTCCCTAGCGGTCTGATTATGTCAGTATTTCTGTGCTCAAAGCGGTACTTTTTTTGCATGGAAATATGCATTTTCTCTATTGAAGGCCTGTAATTTTTAGGAATAACTCACTGAAATCTGTCCGACAAGAGTCTAGTAAACATCCCGGGGAGGATAAAAATTTGAAACACGAAATCATAAATTATAATTATAATAAATAATCATAAATAATAATAATATAATAATAATAAATGTAATTCAATAATATAATCAAACCAAAAACACTGAAATGTGAAATAGAGCGCCAAGTTGGCACATCGCTGAGCTCAGTCGCAGAATCGTTTTCAGTGTCTGATGAGGAATTTCCCCCACCAATCATTATCACTCAATTCTGCAAGTGGTTCTGATTTACTATCGCTGTTCTCTAGCCGCTCTAAAACCGCGTCTGACCTAAAGGGACGCTTTTTGGACGCCATGGACGTTTCTCAGTTTCCAGGCAGAAAGAACAGTAAAAATGCAGGCAGGGCGCCGGACAAAGCACTCGGGACAAAATGTATGTGAAATGGTTTGAAACAGGAATGTTATACGATGTGATTTTCGTTTATTAGAAAATGACAGTTTTTAAAATTTTGAAATTTGCCGCCGGTTCCGTCCCCCGTAAGTCCCGACTCTCGCAGGGACCGGGACATGGAAGCCAGATGCCGGCATCGGCCGGAGGAGATGGCCGGGGATGCTGCAGGGGAGGCATCGCGGGAGCGAAGGACAAGGTAAGCGCTGCAGGGACTCCCTGAGCAACGCTGCATGGTAAGCCAGAGTGTAGCTCGGGGGGGTTACCGCTTTTGGTACTAAAACTTTACCCCGAGCTACATTCAGGAATACCGCCAGGGAGGTTAATGCATCTTTATATCTATCAGCACAGTGGCTAAACGGTTAGCACTCCAGCCTGGCAGTACTCGGGTCGTCGGTTCAAATCCAAACCACAGCACCACCTGCCTGGAGTTTGCATGTTCTCCCTGTGACTGTGTGGGTTTCCTCCGGGTACTCCAGTTTCCTCCCACACTTAAAATACATGCTGGTAGGTAAACTGGCCCTAGTATGTGTATGTATGGATGTGAGTTAGGGACCTTAGATTGTACGCCCCTTGAGGGTTAGGGACTGATGTGAAAGTACAATATACAGTTAGGTCCATATACATTTGGTCACAGGCACAATTCTCATCCTTTTGGCTCTGTATGCCACCAGAATAAATTAAAATGAAACAATCCAAATGAATTTGAAGTGCAGACTTTCAGCTTTAATTCAAGGGGTTGAACATAAATATCAAATACAAATTTTAGGAACTGCAACCATTTTTATACACAGTCCCTCCATTTTTAGGGGCTCAAATGTCATTGGACAAATGAATATTATCATAAATAAAATGTTAATTTGTAATATTTTGTTGCAAATCCTTTACTGGCAATGACTGCCTGAAGTCTGGAACCCACGGACATGACCAAAGACTGGGTTTCCTCCTTTCTGATGCTTTGCCTGAAGTCTGGAACCCACGGACATGACCAAAGACTGGGTTTCCTCCTTTCTGATGCTTTGCCTGAAGTCTGGAACCCACGGACATGTCCAAAGACTGGGTTTCCTCCTTTCTGATGCTTTGCCAGCTCTAACTGCAGCCATCTTTTCAGTTGTTCTTTGTGGGTCTTTCTGCCTTTAGTTTTACCTTCAGCAAGTGAAATGAATGCTCAGTTGGGTTGAAATCAGGTGATTGACTCGGCCATTGCAGAATATTTCACTTCTTTTCCTTCAAAAGCTCCTGGGTTGCTTTTGCAGTGTGTTTTGGATCATTGTCCATCTGTACTGTGAAGCGCCGTCCAATCAACTTTGCTGCATTTGGCTGAATCTGGGCTGACAGGATATCTGTAAACACTGCAGAATTCATCCGGCTGCTTCTGTCTTCTGTCACATCATCAATAACCACCAATGACCCAATGCCACTGGAAGCCATGCATGCCCATGCCATCACCCTGCCTCCACCTATGCCATCACCCGGCCTCCGCCCATGCCATCACCCTGCCTCCGCCCATGCCATCACCCTGCCTCCGCCATGTTTCTACAGATGACGTTTTGTGTTTTGGATCATGAGCTGTTCCAAGCCTTCTCCGCACTTTCTTCTTCCCATCATTCTGGTACAGATTCATCTTAGTTTCATTCGTCCAAAGAATGCTTTTCCAGAACTGGTCCGGCTTTTTTAGATTTTTTTTTGGCAAACTCTAATCTGTCTTTTCTATTCTTCAGGCTTATGAATGGTTTGCACCTTGTGTTGAAACCTCTGTATTTGCACCTTGTGGTGAACCCTCTGTATTTGCTCTCGTGAAGTCTTCTCTTGATTGTAGACTTTGACAATGATACGCCCACCTCCTGGAGAGTGGCCTTCACTTGTCTGGATGTTGTGAATGGGGTTTTCTTTGCCATAGAGAGGATGCTGCGATCATCCACCACTGTTGTCTTCCATGGACTTCCATTCCTTGTCATGTTGCTGGGCTCACCAGTGCGTTCTTCTTTCCTCGGAATGTACCAAACTGTTGATTTGGCCTCTCCTAATGTTGCTGCGATCTCTCTGATGGATTTGTTTTGTTTTTGAAGCCTTACAATGGCCTGTTTCACTTGCATGGACGGCTCCTTTGAACACATGATGTAGGTTCACAGCAATAGATTCCAAATGCAAATACCGCACTTAGAATCAACTCCAGACCTTTCACCTGCTTAATTGATGAAGAAATAATGAAGGAGTAGCCCACACCTGGCCATGAAACAGCTTTTGATTCAATCGTCCAATTACTTTTGGTCCCTTGAAAGAGGGGGGATGGCTACTCGTAAAAGCTGGAATTCCTAAACCCTTCCCCCACTGTGGATGTACATACCCTCAAATTACACCTGAGAGTGCGCACTGTCCACCCATATCCATCATAGAACTAGAGCTGGAACATGTTTTGGAAAATACCTGAAAAAAAAAAATCGAAAAAATTGTGCCTGTCTCCAAATACATATGGACCTGACTGTATATATGTAAAGTGCTGCGTAAATTGATGGCACTATATAAGTACCTGAAATAAATATATATATATATATATATATCAGTCATATCTATTTAATGTCCAATGTATCTTCATATCTATCCAATGTCCATTGCTGTACCATATCTGTCCCCTACCAGTCACTGTACCAGATAACCACCATGCACCATATATACCTGTACTATACAGCTCATAATACCACAGCCCCTCTAAATGACCAGATTCCACAGCCTCTCATACATGAGCTCTCCCCGGGACTGAATATACAAGACCTCAGGTTTGTCAGACAACACTACTGCAAAAGTCCTTATATATGTCTGCTGTCCAATATTGTACCACACAACCCCTCAAATCCATTCTCTGTCAGTCTCTGCATCCTATAACCTCTCCCACCTTTCCTATGCCAGACACTGTCCTCCACTATTAGATTTTTACTCAGACTTGTCACTCAATGATTGCACCATGTAACTCCCATCTGTCCGCCAATGATTGCACCATGTGACATCCCATACCTGTCCTCCGCCAATGATTGCACCATGTGACATCCCATACCTGTCCTCCGCCAATGACTGCACCATGTGACATCCCATACCTGTCCTCCGCCAATGATTGCACCATGTAACATCCCATACCTGTCCTCCGCCAATGATTGCACCATGTAACATCCCATACCTGTCCTCCGCCAATGATTGCACCATGTAACACCCCATACCTGTCCTCCGCCAATGAATTGCACCATGTAACACCCCATACCTGTCCTCCGCCAATGATTGCACCATGTAACACCCCATACCTGTCCTCCGCCAATGATTGCACCATGTAACATACCCCGTACCTGTCCTCCGCCAATGATTGCACCATGTAACACCCCATACCTGTCCTCCGCCAATGATTGCAACATGTAACACCCCATACCTGTCCTCCGCCAATGATTGCAACATGTAACACCCCATACCTGTCCTCCGCCAATGATTGCACCATGTAACACCCCATACCTGTCCTCCGCCAATGATTGCACCATGTAACATCCCATACCTGTCCTCCGCCAATGATTGTACCATGTAACATCTCATACCTGTCCTCCGCCAATGATTGCACCATGTAACACCCCATACCTGTCCTCTGCCAATGATTGCACCATGTAACACCCCATACCTGTCCTCTGCCAATGATTGCATCATGTAACACCCCATACCTGTCCTCTGCCAATGATTGCACCATGTAACACCCCATACCTGTCCTCCGCCAATGATTGCACCATGTAACACCCCATACCTGTCCTCTGCCAATGATTACACCATGTAACACCCCATACTTGTCCTCTACCAATGATTGCACCATGTAACATCCCATACCTGTCCTCTGCCAATGACTGCACCATGTAATGTCATACCTGTCCTACCCACCATGTACCTGTCCTCCGCCAATGACTGCACCATGTAACACCCCGTACCTGTCCTACCAATGATTGCACCATGTAACACCCCATACCTGTCCTCCGCCAATGATTGCAACATGTAACACCCCATACTTGTCCTCTACCAATGATTGCACCATGTAACATCTCATACCTGTCCTCTGCCAATGATTGCACCATGTA